CCATGCTGGCGGCACTTTTGAGAGGTGATCGAATCATGAGGATGCTAAAAATGGATTAGTTCACTGATGAATCTCTCTCTCTCTCTCTCATGCTTCCTTGCCATGAGTTGAGACACTGCTCTATCACACACTGAACATACACAGGCCCAGAGCAACAGAACCCAGTGTGACCAGGGACCAAAACCTCTGAAACCATGAGCCAAAATAAATCCTTCCTTCTTTAAGTTGTTTTCTCAAGTATTTTGTTGCCATGATATAAAGTTTAGTCACTTAAGAATGTATAAAAAGAAAATCCAAGGTATCCAAATTGCCTGTTTGTTTCTAAATAAGCACCCCTCCTTCCTGGTCTTCTGTAGGTGACAAATTCTGAGTACACCTCTCCAGGGCATGAGTCACTGCTTTTCAAATCCCATCCTCTGAGTAAGAGCAGAGACATCGATCTCTCTCCCAAGGTTGAAGACTGGCTGGAAACCCATTCGCTATTAACCTGTTCCTACTCTGAGTGCTCATGGGAGGAATTCTTGCATCTTGGTGCATTTTGAAACAGTACTAGTAAAAAAATTCTCAGTGCCAACAGTGAAACACCAGTTCTGTCTGTCTTCTCATATAGGAAGGACTAACAATCCCAGCAAGTCACTTAAAGTGACTTAAAGTCAGATTTTATAGATGATTTTATATACTAATTTTGCCATTGGAAAAATATTTCATTGAATAAGCCAAGCAAGTCAGGCTTTTCAAAGGCACATAGACATCATTTTTTCTGGATGGAAAAGTAAATGAACATCTATCTATTCAGCAGGTTTTTCATTGATGTTCTGAAGCCTGGACTGCAGAAGAGTTTGTGAATGAACTGAAAGAGTTAATTTGACTTCTAGGAGCTATAAGCTGGTTTCGGTTGGGTGGACTGTGTATTCTTTGACTTGGTTCAATAAAATGTAAATGTTATCTGGGTACACAAAGCATATTTCATGGTGATAATGAATCTGTTGACATACCATGCATACTTTATTATATAAATTTTAGTAATGTATTTGCTAGAGAGAAAAATGAATGCAGTCTGCTTTTTGCTCTCCAATATGCCTGGGTTGGTTAGCACTTGTCCACTTCTGTCCTTAGTGTGGCTTGTTGGCCTGCCTTTATTTAATCAATCAGGGCACTGTGGATGTTGGGAGGAACACAACAGTGTTCTTATTGACTGAGCTAATCTAACTGGATTCGAAATAGGAACTAGGAGATGGGTTATTTTTAAAGCAAAACCCATTGATGCATAAAGCTGTCTTGAAGATTTATAGATTTACAATCAGTGAGGTGTGTCATGTGTGCGAGAAGTCCAATTAGGAGGGTACGGGTGGTCTGGAGCCATGGGTAGAGGAGGCCTTTCCTTAGATGGTACCCATGCCAGCTGTGCATGCGGGTAGAGATAAGAATGATGTTGGGTGCAGCTTGCTAGCAGGACAGGTTTGTAAACTTGTAGGGCCAGTAGCCAAATGGAAATGCAGAACTCTGTTCAACATTATTATGAATTTCAAGGTGGTATAGTAGGACCTTGCACCAAGTACACAAGTTCACACACTGCCCTCCTGTCTGCTGCTACTGCCTTATAAGGATGGAAGGCTGCCCTCTAGTGATGCAGAGAAAGCAAATTCTCCTTCTAACTCTCACTTTTTCCCCACTTTTCTTTTTAATCCCTCAGGTCCAGTTGAGCTTCCACAGTTGGTTTCTGTGTGTATTTTGTCACAAATAAATTAATATAAAGTAAGTTTATGGGCAAGCCCCTTGCTCCCTGTGCCTTACCGTTGCATAGCAGTCTTGCTACCCAGAGGCGTAGAGATGAACTAGAGGACTCCTTGGAGTCCCTTTAGCGGCGAGAGTATATTTCATACTCCTGGCTTTGTACTAAAGGGCGTTTTTCATCTCACTTCATGTTGCCTAGAGGTTATTATTTTGTTTCCTCCTCTGTTTTCCCAACCCTTTCAAAATAGAAACTATCTTGAACCTTTTAAAAGACATGTTTAGCCCCATTTGATTCTAAAACACAGATAGAATAACAATGATGATTACAGTTGTTCACATCTTTGTATTACATATAGAACACTGACAAGCAGCAAAAACAAAACAAAAGAACTGACAAAACCTCAGAGAAGCCCAACGTAGTCTTAATTTCTTATGCTATATTCTTTCTAAGATCTTTGTCTAAGCTGAAGCAATTTAAATTGGGATTGGGGGAGAGACGAGTGGGAGAAATATTGGGGTTTGTTCCTGGTTGGCTTTGTGTAGCCCTTGTTTTCAAAAGACACTAGAATTTGCTTAAGAGATTCCAGATTCCCTATCCTTCTTTCCTCTCCCCTTAAACATCTAGTACCTAGTGTATACAAGATGAGTATTTGTTGAATCATCAAATGAAGGAATGAGTGTTTAAGAATCTCCTAAGGAATCCAGGTCTTGGTGGCTCATGTCTGTAATCTTAGCTACTTGGGAGGCTGAGAATGGTAGAGTCTTTGTTTGAGGCTGGTCTAGGGAAAAAGTTTGCAAGACTCCATCTCAATCAGTAGCTGAGCACAGTGGCATGTCTATCATCTCAGATAAACAGGAGGCTGAGATCAGGAAGATTGTTGCTCCAGGCCAGCACAGGCAAAAAAAAAGTTCACGAGACCCCATTCCAATGGAAAAAAGACGGGCATGTTGCTGTGTCCCTTCATCTCAGCGAGGGTAGGAGGTATGAAACAGTCCAGGACAGTCTGGACAAAAAGCAATACCCTATCTCAAAAATCACCAAGGCAAAAGGACTGGAAGTATGGCTCAAGTGGCAGGGCACCTGCCTAGAAACTGGGAAGCTCTAAATTCACACCCCATTATCACCACTAAAATAACAAGAAGAATCTCCTACAGGTGAAGGTCAGACTGTCCATGGAAAGTCTTTCCAATTATATTATATTTTCCCATCATATTTTAACAAAATTTTGCAATTCCCTCTACCATATATGGAGAATATACAAATCGCATAGACCCTGGATATTAAAAATACTGCTCTTCCCCAGTAGAAAGAAGGAGAAAGGAGTTAAGCACTTACTTTCCTTCATAAATCTTGAATCAGCATGTTGCTAGCACAGGAAAGGACTGGAAATGTGCAGACCTGTTGAAGCCAGAAAGTCCTGGGAAGAGAGAATGAACACAACAGAAACTGGTCAGCTTCCCACTCAACCCTATTTCCTTGGAGGGGATCAGATTCTGGATATTTATGAGTTCAGTTATCAGTGTTGTCTGGTATTGAAGCTTGCTCTCAGAACTTTCATAAACCTAAAATCTGGGGATAAGGTAATCCCATGTCTTGGTCCAAAGGAAAGCATCAAGTCTAACGAGAGGGTTTGGACCTGCTGGAGAGGCTGAGATTGCTCAAGGGTAGGTTTTGTTCCAGGGGGAGCTCAGACATGGTGAGGCAGGTTCCCCAGTCAAGAGCTCAGACAGTCCAAAAAGAGAGATTCATTCAGCTGCTAGGGTTGCAAGAGGCACAGTGGCAGATGGACCTTTGGGCCACCAGGAGATTTTAGGGGTTCCATTCATTACCTCCTACCACTTCTCTCTTGATCCCTGGCAGAAGAAATGGTCTAAGACTGGTATGGGGTGTGTAAATGGGGAGGCAGAAAGTCCTTATCAAGACCTTGTGTCCTGGAACTCCCTCCAGGACCCTACCCCTGCCCTCAACCTGGGGGAGTTTAGTTCTCCTGCAGAGGTTGGCACAGCTGTGCCATCCTGTGACCTTAACCCCCTGGACCCAGTTGGTGTTAACCATTGCTAAAAATAAAATTCCTATAAATCTCCGGATCGGGGACCTGTACTCAAGGGTCACACAGTCACTCAACTTGCATGCCCCTGTGTGGTTGGGGAATAGTACAGCCAGCAGTTAGGAAAGCTCCTGAAGTCTTAGGTAGTGCCATCCTGAGGCTGACCATCTACTGGCAGGGATGCAGAACAGGGCCCTTGAGCTGCTAGTTGGTAACCTCTGTGCCTTAGATTCCTTAGAAAAGGTTTTGGCGAGAGGATAAGATTTGGGAGTTTCTGGGCAGGATGACACTCCCAGGAGGGTAAACTACTTTGGAGGTCATCAATGAACCTTCTGGCTTCCAGCAATGGCCTGTATTCCAGACATATCAGGAGGGGACACTGTCTTTGCAGAAATCTGCCCCCAGAGGCTCTAGCCAGGTCTCTCTGGACTCTCCCACCAGTCCCCCAAAGTGGCAAAGGGAGTGAATTCCATAGCCAGCCTTGCCCAGGGGCTCCCAGCTGTGCTCCCTGCCAGGTAGAAGGGGCTCTGCGGGGAACAGGACCAACCAGGGCGCCTGGTAGATCTCAACACTTGTAAAGTGTGAAGCTTCAAGTGCAGGGTACAAGAGAGGCAGCCTCCCCAGGACTAGCGAGTGTTCCTCATCCATCATGTCCACTCCTCTCACATCTATCCTCCTTTGGAGACTTTGTCTTCGAAGGGTTTCCTCCCAAATCCTCCCTCCCCCGGCCCAGGGAAGACCCCTGCCCTCCCAGAGAGTGGAGAGGAGCCTGGGAGTCCCTAACCTTTTCTGCAAAGGAGAAAGCGGGGAGGATGGGAACCCCTGCCCATTGCAGGGAGATAGGGGATGGCAGAGCCCCTCCTTTGCGCCCCTAGAGAGGGAAAAGGAGGCGCTCCTCCGCTGTCCACTGAGCAGGGGATACTAAATGGGTGGGGGGTTCACTCAAGACACAGTGAGCCGGGATTTGCGGACCCCCCCCATTTCGGGGCTGATGGGAGTGGCGCGTGGCAGTGGTCTCCCTGCTGCCCTTCAACATACATCCCCGCAGTGTCCTCAGCCCAGCGGGAGGGTGGGGGAGGCCCAGGGTGGCCCCCCACGCTGCGCTCGTGGGGAGGAGGGCCAGAGCTCTACTCCGCCCAAGCTGTGCAGGGGCCAGGACGGAGGAGAGGGGACCGCGGTGTGGCCGAGTGTGAGAGGGTGGAGGCAGGGGACCAGCAGGGCCCGGGACGCAGTGGGCAGCCTCCCCAGAGCGCGCGGCCAGGCCGTCGGGGGGCGGTGGTGGGCGGAGGCCGGCTGCGGCGCGCGGGGTGGGAGGAGGCGGGCCGCGGGGCCCCTGTCGCACCCGCCCCCTCCCGCGCGGTGGCGGCGGCGGCGGCGGCGCCTGGAGCTGCCCTGAGGCCGCCACCCGGCCCCCGCCCGCGCGTCAGCGCGCCCAGCCCGGGGCGCCGAGCTCCGCCCGCGCCGGAGGCCCCTGCGCGCAGCTCCGGGTGCCGGCAGCCGGCGGGCCGAGGCGGCGCGGGGGTGGGTGGGACGCGGGCGGCCGCGGTGAGCCGCGCTGTCCCGGCCGGGCGCTCACGGCGGGCGCCCCGAGAGCCGCCCCGATGTGGCAGGAGGCGATGCGGCGCCGCCGCTACCTGCGGGACCGTGCCGAGGCGGCGGCGGCGGCGGCGGCGGGCGGTGGCGACGGGCTGCAGCGGTCCCGGGACTGGCTGTACGAGTCCTACTACTGCATGAGCCAGCAGCACCCGCTCATCGTCTTCCTGCTGCTCATCGTCATGGGCGCCTGCCTCGCCCTGCTGGCCGTCTTCTTCGCGCTCGGGCTGGTGAGTGGCCTCCCCGCGCGCCCGGACGCGCATTGCCGGGGCCCGGGAGGGAACCGGCTCGCGACCCGATCGCCCACCGGGTCCCCGCCCGGGGCTCCGCTGCGACCGGCCCCGTCTGCCCCGTCCGCGGCTGGCGTTGCTCGAGCGAGGGCTGCGGGCAGGGGAAAAGTTTCCTTGGAAGGCTTTGGCCAAAATAAAGTTGACGGGGTGTCCTCCAGGTGTCCGGGCAGGGCATGGGGCTGTGACATCTCTGCTCATCGGCGGGCAAACTCCAGGGCTGTGCTGTTCTGCAGACGCCGCTCCTGTCACCCGCTGCTCCGGTAGATCTCCACCGAGCCAGCCCCGGGCTTCCTGGGCGTCCCCTGCCTCCCAACCCCGTCCACTGGCACAGCCTTGGAGCTGGCGTTTTGGTTCGGACTAAGCGCTGTGGAGCCCTGTGAAAGGCTTGCCGTGGGAAACTGTTAATGACAAGGAAAATGGGGGGCGGGGGGAGAAGGTAAGGCTGTACATGTTTGCTGTTAAACCTGCACGGGCATCGCCCCATAGACAGAAAGCGATGGAGTGCTGAGCGGTTGCACACCGCTTATCCTCAGAGACTAGAAGTGAACCGCATTTGGGATGGGTCCTTGCCTTTCTTTTGCTAGAGAAGTAGTGGACATGTTTACGGTTTCGTACAGGTTATTAAAGTGCATTGCATCACGAAGAACCTAGCGCGGCTCAACAGCTGATGTCAGTTTTGCCAGTTTATATTTCTCAAGCAGAAATCCTTGGCTCGCCCCAGTGAACAGGAGAGGAAATCTGTAGATAGCGTTAACTTCCTGTTACGGCTCTCTGAGTGTGTGGTTCAAACTTTTGCGCTGCCCAAGATCTCCATGTGCACATGTGTGTGCGAGGCCTCGATCATTCGGGGAGATTTCTTTTTGTCAGTGCTTGATCTGGGAATGTCTCCACCGAATGATATTTTTTGAGCTTAGAGTATAAATACATGCCTGTATTTATTTGCCTCCACGAGGAAAGAAGTGGCTCCTGTTCATATTTCACCAAGTGCGCAGATAGCCCTCTTTGGTATTTGACACTTTGTTTTGGATATCCTGAGCCAGAGGGTGCTCACATACTATGCATGGGAAGGATTGGTATCACAGATTTTTTTTAAATTGTGTTTTGGATTTTCCCCCTGCTATGCCTTGGGTACTGTCTTCTGATTGAGTTTTAAGAAGCAAGAAGGGAAAATTCAAGGGGGGCAGCCGTGACGTCACAGGTCATACACTGCTCCTTGAAGTGTAGCAGGCAGTGAGCACCTTTAAATCCCTGTAGTGTGGATGTGAGTGGAGGGTGGCCCCCACACCAGCCTCGAGGGTCCCTAGAATGGCATCTTCATTGCTCTTTACCATCTATAGGACCAAAAAAGGACTTGAAGAGAGACTTTTGCCCATTTTCATTTGCAAACAGTCTCTAAAGATATCTCTTTTTTATCCCCCACTTGCAGGGAAGAAAACCTGGCAGAGTTTTCCTTTGGAAATCTGTTCTTCTAGGGCATTTCTGCTTGTGATTTTCCTGAACCTGTAATCCAAACCGTTCCGACTTGTTCCTTTCTAAATGGACAGAGGGAGCAGGTGACCGTCTAATTATAGTGCCATGAATGCAGGGGGGGCAAGTTCATGTGTCTTATGCTACTTTGTTTCCTATGATAGGCCACTCTGATTTCTTAAGCCACATTGATTAAATGTTCCTCCAATCAGCGAGAGAATTTTTTGAATTGTCTTCATTCTTTCTATTAAACAATTAAACAATTCCTTTACGTTCCATTTTCTTGTTGGAAATTGTGGAGGGGTACCTTTTAAAAGTTTATCCAGGCATCTTTAGTATCCCTTGATACATCAACCATTTCCACACCTTCACTGAGCTCAGTGAAATCATTTTAAGTGCAAAGCAGGCATTTCCTGCAGATTGACTGTTGTCCCTGGACAGTGAAGTGGATTCTGTTCTGTTCTGTCCCTGACATGGTCTCATATCCCCCTATGTAAATCCTTTACAGTGATCAGCTGTGTGGAAATGTTCCAGGGTGGTGACGCCATCTAGTGCAAAGGCTATCTTCAGGTGGAGGCTATAGGGCAGGGCTTCCTGGAGTGGGCAGTGCCTGGGAAAAATGGGCACTGTCTTCCAAAACTGCACCATAGCTGGGGCTGGAGTGACTCTGGGTTCCCATCAGCTCGTTTCTACTTTGTTTTTTGGTAGTATTATAGTCAGCACCTCCATTTAAAAAAATAAATGTTCTCTTTCCAGATAGTCAAAGATGGCTTGTGTAGGAGCACTGAAGGTGGAATTCAGCTTTTAGCCTGTGCTGATGTGGGCCAGGATGAGTTCACATCTCACCTTGAGCAGAGCCTGGCTTCTGAGGTCCACCTTGGGAATGGAAGTGTTATGGCAGCACTGGGCTCTGCCAGGTTTCCACCTTGAAGCACTCTGTTGGAGTAGCAAGGCTCTCATGTAATTCAGGAGTAAAGCTGATCTATTTTTGCTGCCTGAAATCTTGGACAGTTTCCTTTTTCCCCAGAATCTGCCTGGTTTTGATTTCCATTAGACTTTGATCAGTTCTTATAGTAGAAAGAGTCTGGCACTTTGCTTAAAACACAGCCCAGGTCTCCGGGAACATTTGGATTACAAAATGATTTTAGCATAATCCAAGTATATAGAGATTTTTTGTTGGATGTAATTGCCTTTGTATGAGCAAACTTTGTTTTGACTTAGCCTTTCCCTAATTGAAACTTAATTCCAATCTATGGTCAGTCAATGGTTCCATCCTACAGACCACAAGTTAAAGTGGTCCTCAAGTTTTCTTGGTGATACTGGAGTTTGAACTCAGGACTTCATGATTGCTAAGTAGGTTATCTACCTCTTAAATCACAGCTCAACTGTTTTTTGCTCCAGTTATTTTTTTAGATAGGGTTTTGGACATACCACCATATTGGCTTTTTTGTTGAGATGGGGGGATCTCACTAACTTTTTGCCTGAGCTGGATTTTATCCCCATCTCCTGAGTAGCTGGAATTATAGGTGTGAACCACCTTGCCTGGCACCCTCCAAAGTATTTTTTTTTGTTATTCTGAAAAAATAAATCCTGAATTGCAGTATTACAGTCTTGCATAAGTTATTATTTTCCATGTAAAAATCTACAGAATAAGTTTAATTTCATACGTGTAAAGACCTATCTGAAGATGTGACTCAAAGTAAATAGACTACATGATGACATGGCTTGAATTTTCATATTCTGTTTAATAATATAAAACATTTTCTGTTACTAATCATGGAAGGTTTTAATGAAAAGTCTGAGTTCTAATTTTTTGACATCAGTGATTAAGTATCTACTGAGTGTCCGGCACAGGTCATGCGGGGGAGGATGAGCAAAATAATTCTGGCTCTGAAGCAGAAGACTTAGAACTAATGAGACGAAACTATGGTATAAATCTTACCATGTCACTTTGCTTTGGAGGCTGGCTCTCATTCCTGAAGGCATGAAAGTCCTGTTTAGAATGACATCCTCTCAATTATAATGTCCCAAATCACCCAGCTTTCTTCAAAATTGTTAGGAGAGGAGGCCATAATTTTAGTTTGTCAAAACATCAGCTGGATCCAGTGAGATTTGTTTTGGTTGATATTTATGATTAGGAAGAGTCAATATTTCAATTTGAAGGAAAAATTATGTTCCCATAAGTTTCAAGTAGTCAGATTATTCAATAAAATAGTTTTGTTTTCTTAGCATGACCTTGAAAGAAGAGTGTACACTTTTCAAAAAATTGTTGCTGTTTTCCTGGGAGTCGGGGATCAAACCCAGGTCCTTGTACATGCTAAGCAAAGCACTTCATCACTGAGCTACATCCCCGGCCCACTTTCATTAAATATAAATAGGCAGTGTGTATGACTGAGTATATGACCCACTCTTTTTATGGTGATATACCTTTTAAAAACAATAACCATGAATACTTCTCATTACAAATCAATTTTCTAGCATTTGGTCTTCTTTCTATATATTAAGGAAGAATCTTATTCTTTCAAAACAATTAAACATGCTCAATCATTTGTAAAGGGAAATTGGAGTTATTGTTCTAACATTTCAGCACCCCCAGTAGTGTGGAAGACCCACCCTTTCTTAGGAGGGTGAAGACTGGAAGGCAGCTAGAAATGCCCCACATCTCAAGGAGCAGGAATTTCTGTGAGCTCTTTCTCTAGTTCCAGAATTCTGGGGGTAAAGGGGAACAGAACAAGTCCATAGTGACTGGAACAAAGGTAGCTAAAGATTTTTTTTATGAATTTCTACATATACAGGAAAATTCTTGTCTGCAGTGTTTGTAATTTGCAACCAGTAATTCACTAACTCACTTTAGTTATACTTTACCTGTGATTTAAACAGAAGCCAAGGAGAAATTAATTTTCTGCAGAAAAGTTACTTTTAATTTAGAGAACCAGCAGAAGGGAGTTGGAAGCATCTGTGAGATATTAAAACATGTGATTAGATGAACACAGGGCAGCTTGCCTTCTGTTTAAAAGTGATGGAGAGGATAAGGTTAAGAGCATCTGTCTTCATTGTAACTTTGGCTTTGTTCTTTTACAACTTTGACTTTAGATTGTTCAACCTATTTTCCAAATTCTGTGTTGTAAAGTGAGAGTGTACCTGCCTCATATGGTGTAATCCAAATCAGTAGATGTAAGCCCTTAGGACAAGGCCTGCCCAGAAGCAGCCGTCACTGGGTTTCACTGTTGCCCGAGAGCACAGTGTAGCCAGTGGCAGTAGAGCTGGGAGGGCACTAACTCTACAGATGAGGAAACTGAGGCCCAGGGAGGTGAATTACTTTTTTCAAGTTGATGTTGCCACACAGCTGGGGCCAAGGTCACATTTGACTTTGTCTCTGGTAACTCTTCTGGAGAACACTGCAGGTATGCGATTTCCAGATATGGTCCCAGCACCATAGCAGCCCTCCACATGCTTCATTCTGGGTAATGACT